TGTGGCTATAGGGCCTTAATCATAATAGCTTTATTTCTCCTTGTTTAAAGCTCATTCTTTATATCTAATGGTCTGAATCAGATTTTGTTTTATGGTTTCTTCTGCAGGTTTTTTCGTGTACTTTGTGTTAGTTTATATACTTTGAGTTTTTTGTACTTCATTTACAAAATATTTCTGAAATGCACCGAGATCAGTTCCTTCAAAAACGTTCTTCTATGAAATATATTTCTACATACTGGCTCTATTTTTGTCTTCTTGCGCTCCTTTTAGCTCCATTTGTGCTCGTTTTAGCTTCTAGTTAGAATTTTAGCGTTTATTTATCGTTCTGCTACATTTAGCTTTTAGCACCGGTTTTGCTTAGTTTTGTTTTTAGCTGTTTTGCTAACTTTAGCTTTCACCCAGTTCACACTCAGTAATCCAGGTTACAAATCCAACAATGTTCAGTCAGGTCACCTGGATGTTTTTTTTAATGAGATGTTTCGTCCTTCATCCGAAGGACTTCTTCAGTCCCAGGAGCCATAAACAAACTGGAGTCCCACAAATACCACACTCCCATAGTGGAAACAACAGTTTGCTGGTGATAAGATGGTTTCTGGGGCTCGCCCTCTCCCCCGTCACTCCTCTGAGGCAGCCATGCCTTTCACCTACTTGTTTTCTATTTTTAGCTTTTTAGCTTTTAGCCACAGTTTTGCAATTTTGATTTCTTGTGATGCTTTTGCTACGTTTAGCTTTTACCTATTAATTTACTAGTTTTAGTTTTTAGATCAAGTTTAGCATTTTTTTTTGTCTTTAGCCACAGGGTTGTAGTATGACATATCCTGAGATATATTCATACATTAAACGAGTTCTTTCATTTTTCTGGACTGAATGATGTCGTGCATTGAATTTAAATAAAATGTGGACGTGAGACGTTAATTATCTTTGACTCACCACGACAGTGGGTCATTTATTAACAGAATCAAGTTTAACACATCACACATTTACATTAATTGGCAAGAATATGAAAATAACAACATAATTAATCAGCTTTACAACCAGGAAAACCATACGGCCATGATTTTCCGTTGCTTCACCACAGACATTTCTGAAGACATCTGGATTAATTTGCTAGCAGATAGGAGAGTTTAAAGATGGAAAAATGAGATTTATCTACAGAGAGATGTGTGAGGGAATTTGTCTGTTTTAACCAGAACTGACACGCTCCTTCTTTTCCAGCTTGGGCCAACGGTACGCTTGGTCGAAATAGAACTTTTACCTTGCAGATGATAGCTTCAGCATCGGTGTAGAGCTCTCCTTTCAACTCTTTCAGCGTCTCCGTGAGGACAGCTCGAACCTCGAGAGTCGTGTGAGGTTATCCAAACAGAAGTTATAATTCCCAAAATCGTCTCTGGTTCAGCTTGATTCTAATTCAGCAGCATCCTGAATGCCAGCGTTCTGCATTCTGGAACTTCCAAAACTCTCTGCATCTGAATTCCAAAAACTCTGCTTGAACTGCTGCTCCATCTTCAAGACTGAGCTTACAGCAGCTTCAAGACTGAGCTGAACTCTCTGAGCTGAACTCTTCTCCTTGAACTAGGAAGTGCCAACCTTTTAAGAAGGGTCACTTCCGGTTCATTTGAGAGCTTTTTGATTGGTCGATGGACCAGAGCAGAGGTGTGGTTTGTGATGTAAGGTGTTATTAAAAGTCAAGGAAAAGATTCAGATTGTTTAAGAACAGACAGAAAGATATCATGGAAAAACCCAGACTTCGTGGAGCCTCTCACCAAGTATCTTGCTATAAAAGTTAAACATGACATTTCTTTTCAGTAAACTTTCAGTTGACCGAAACTCGAA